TTGAGTTTTGAAAACATAATGTAACGATGCATCTAGTTCAAGTAAGAAGTGATTCAAGGACTACAGACCTCAAATTGTGTCTGTAGAAGTCTAAGGATTATTCAGAGACTTGAATCTGAGATCTTCAAAGGATGTTAGATATCCAGGCCTGCCCGCTCCTGCTATTTGTGGGAAAACTAATGCTCAGAGGAGGGTCAGGAAGGGCAACTTTTCTTAGTTGATAGAACAGACTATGGCAACAAGGGGACCAGAAACCCTGTTTCCTGACTCAGAAAAGAACCTCTTTACATTATGTCACCCTATGCCATGGCCTTATAATCTTCACACCTTTTCTTCAGTTGCTTGTCTTTGGAGCAATAGACAGAAGAAAAGAGTATATACATTGAGAAAAAAAAAAAATTCAAATGCGTTCCGACTTCCCCAAAAGTGTTCCAGTCTCAGTGGCAGCTTCTGTAACTTTAAACTTCCATTTATTTGTCCATTCACCTATAAAAATAATCTTTCCGTTACAATTTCCTCAGACATAATAATTATTTTTAACTTCAACATAATCTGGAAATTCTTTCCTGTTTTTAACATATACAAGGTTTTTGTTGTTGTTGTTAAATAATTGCAATGGCTTGAACATATTATTCTCTCTGAGTATGGATAGACCAAGAACATATAACATATACCTGCAGAGAACATGTATATTGTCACTAGGATGTTGTTAGTCTATACTATAGGCATGTTCTGAGCACATCTGATCCACTGTTACCTTCACGATTTCAACAGATAAAGAACCATACATTTCAATTAGGAATCAAGACTTTCTGGATGGTGTGGATGGACTCTAACCAATATCCCAGTATTCTGATGTTGTGGAATGAGGTTTTTTTTTTTTTTTTTTTTTAAGATAACGATGATTAACAAATAATTTCAGAATTTTTTGAGGCAATTTTTATCCCACACTGTATGAGAGAACAGAGTTTTCTGAACATAATTAACCTTTATTTGATGATTTCAGTATAATTTCTTCAGTCCTCACCGAGTCATCTGTTGATTTTACTGGTTAGAGATACTTAGTCTGCATCAGGCATCAAACACAGTACTAGGGATTTACAAATTTAAATAGCTCTCACCATTAAGGAGTTTAGCATCTTAATGAAGGGAGATTTGTCTAAGTAAAGCTCAACTTACATGATATATAAAGTGAAGAGGAAAATAGTAATTTACACCAAATTACAGTTAGAGGGGCATCATTAAAGACAGAAAGTACAGAAGCATGGTAGGACAGACACATGCAAACGTCCTTCTTCCTTCTTAAGGGGTTCTGACTCTCCCCCACAGCACAACCCAAGTAGTACAACCGAGGGGCCAAGAAGACAAAACAGTTCTATGGGTTACCAGTGAAGCAAGCCAGCAATATTGTCAAGGGCATATTTGAGGGGATCAAAGCCTTCACAGAGATACATAGATAAAGATCATTTTTTTAAAGTACAAATTGAGCCACAGATTTTGGAGGAAATTGAGAATTGAAATCATACTTTCCATCACTTTCAAAATGAAAATGTCAATTCTTTGGCAGAACTATCAATGCTTTCATCCTCTTGCCTCCTGTCTTAGTCAGCTTGGGCTGCCATCACAAAATACCACAGATGGCTTTGGCGAGGGAAATTTATTTTCTCACAGTTCTGGAGGCTAGACATCTGAGATCAAGGTGCCGCCAGGACTGGATTCTGGTGAGGCCTCTCTTTTCTGGCTTGTAGATGGCTGCCTTCTTGCTGTGTCCTCACATGACCTCTTGTGTGCTTGGAGAGAGAGAGTAAGCAGAGAGAGTGAGCTATCTTTAGTGTCTCTTCCTCTTCTCACCAGGAGACCAGAGCTATGGGATTCAGGCCCCACTGCTCACTTCATCTAACTTACCTCCTGAAAGGCCCCATCTCCAAATACAGTCACATTGGGAGGGGCAGGGCTTTAACACAGGAAGTTTGGCAGGACACAATTCAGTGTCTTAACACCTCTCCACCTGTGTGATCTCACATTTACAACTCCTGTTCTTCATAGGCTTTCTGCCATAACAACACCAAATTCTTCAAATTCCCCATACTTCTTGCATTTGTTTCCCCTTCATGCTGTGGTGCATGCTTTATTTTTGCTCACTTCTCTCTGCTTGTCTGCCTGGCAAACCTACAGTTCAAACTCTTCTTCAAGGCCTTCCCTGACTTTTCCCAGGAAGAATTACTGTGTCTTGTATATAACCTCCAATAATATAGCATTATCATGTTGTTTTAATTGACCGTGGATGCTCAATACATATTAATATTTTTTAACATATGAACGATGCTAATATTTTTAAAAGATCTCCTAATATTGCTGAACTACGAAGCTAGTTCTCCAGGAAGTTATATCATGAGTTATTGTTATACAATCATCTCTTTCCCCCTCCAAATTTCAAGGGATTTCTGAAAGGACAGGTGCTCTTGCCTCAGCTTTTCAGATATAAGTTTAAGGAAATAACTAATTATAAAGATTAATCTTATATTGATGTTCATATCCCGATCTGATTTCCTGAAGGTAGGTTTAATTTTTTTTAAATAAAAATACTTAAACATTGTAAATTTGAAATAAAAACAGTAATGCTATTTAAAATATAAAGGAAAGAATGGGAAACTCAGGTCTCCCTAGCAATGTGGGACACCCGCTCCAAGATGATATATTAACCCATTGCATTCAAATCCTGCTCATTTTCTCCCTGGACTCAATCCATTTACTACCAGGCCATTGGCTCCAGGCTGTATGTTCACGTTCTTTATTCACTGCCTTGCACCTACAGTTAATTGGGACACATTGCCTAGATAACAGAAAAATCTGGCTGATACACCTCCCACTAATAATAGGAATCGTGACCTTGACTGTGACCCATGACCTTGATAATGTGGAGTTCACTTAGAACATCTCACTATACTTCACAATAATTTAACTGGTGATTTACCTACATGGATGATACACATTGTCTGAAACAGGTAAGCCTGAGCTTAGAAACTTTCAGTATTAGCTGTATAGCTTCAGACACATCTACTATCTGGTGGCTCAGTTTCCTCACCTATAAAACAGGGACAACAACAGGACCCATCTCTTAGGATCACTGGCAGGATTAAAGGAATTAATACATGTAAAATATTTAGAATAGTGCCTGGTCCTGAGCGAGCACCTAAAAGTTAGCTATTATCTTTACTATTATTAAAGTATTGCTTACTCGGAATTAATCCCACTTAAATACAGTCCAGTGAATGAGCTTTCGGGCTCAGAATTCCATACAGACATGGAGATTATAACCAACCAGGTAAGCATACCTCCATATGAGGCATGTCTTAAAATTTTGTGATCTTTTAAGAACAGAACTTTTCTACTGGTGGAGGTTTACTTATGGTCCAAAGTAGATGATCTGATCCAATTGCTCTGATACATAACATGGGTAAAGTTAAAAAATAAAATGGGGATGGGGAGGGGAAGCTGTGCAGATAACCAGAACTCTTCAACCCCTAGTCATTGTTCTTTCAGAGTTGAAGATATTTATAACAACACTGCTATTAGGTTTAAGTTTCTTTAGAAAGAATAGCATATAACCCAATTTTAATGCATACACAGTAACCTCAAATTTCTAGTATTATATATATATATATATACACACACACACACACACATATATATACAGAGAGAGAGAGAGAGAGAGAGAGAGAGAGATCAATTCATATGAACACCCTAGGCTGTTAACTTTCAAGACCTGTAACTGGGGTCTTTTTCTTGGTGTAATCTTGAAGCCTGCATACTTCCTTGGCCATGCTAACCATGGGAACTGTTCTTGGCTTCTGGCTCCAGTTCAACAGTGATTTGGTGAGATGTCTGTGACAATCAGTGTAGATAGAACTTTATTTTTTCTTCCCCCTCTGTCTGCGCTGGCAAAACAATGTTATCAAATAGTTTTACTCCGGATGGTCACAAGAACCTGGGAGCACTGTACTTCAGCCTAAACGTTAGCAGAATTCGGCAACGATATATCCCTACTGCAATTAACAACCACTCATTCTTTTCAGGTGTTCAGGTTATTAAAGACTTGGGAGTCAATCTTCACTCCTCCTATACTCATACCTCATATCCAGTTTATCGGAAATACTGTGTCTCTGCTTTAAAAATAGCCAGAAACCAACAACATCCTATTACCTCCACCACTACCCCTGGTCTAAGCCATCATATTTCACCTTCGTTATTGCAATACTCTTGTAACTGGTCTCCCAGCTTCCACTCTTACCTGCCTTATGGCCTAGTTTCCACACACAATATGATCCTTTTAAAAGTCAAGTCACAATCACACCACTCTTCTGTTCAAAACCTCTCAAAAGATCCCCGTCTTGTTCAGAGTAAAAGTCAGATCTCTTACAAAAAGCCTGTATAGGGTCCCTAAGCCTGTGGCTCCCTTCACCAGCCTTCCTCACTTCTACCTTCTGACCTCTTCTCTGTCTACCTCCCTCTGCCAGGAATGCCCTTTCTCCTTCTTCATGCAGTCACCTCAGTGAGGCCCATCCTATCCTACTTAAAAATGCATGTCTCCACACACCTAAGCATTTCCTATCCTATACTCGTCTTATCACTAATACAGAAACTCCGGAGGTATGAACCCTAGAACTTTCTGGCAAGTGCCCAGGTAATGCTGATGCTGGGGGACCAGGAACCACACTTTGCGAACCACTGCTTCAGGAGAATCTCTCTTCCCAGATTCTCATTCTTTGTGATTTGGGTAGGGCTAAATTACATAAACTTCAGGCATCTCCAGACTACGTAAGTGTCTTTTAACTCAGAATGCCAGGCCCCACCCTTAGTTTTTTTCTGATTGGGTAGGACTGGGGCGAGAGCCCGAGATTTGCATTTCTAACCATTACCCTTTGAAAACCACTGGTTGAATATATGATACACTTTTTATTAAGTTTCTCTGCTTCCTTTCCATAAGAATATAAATTCTATGAGGCAGGAATTTTTTATTTTCTGCTGTTTTCTCATGCAAAGGACAATACCAGGTACATAGTAGCTGCTCAAAATACATGTTGAATGACTAAATTAAAATCGCTTATCCTAGTGTTACATCAAAAAATTTCTAACTTTATCTTGCCAGATTCCATATGAAGAAATACAAAGCTAAAAGTACTTATAGTTTAATCCTCTCAGGCAAGAAACCATTTTAAAGCATTAAGACAGAGACAGCTGGGATTTCCTGATATATGGGAAATAAATTATTAACAACAGACATTATTATCTTAACATTAAGGTTAATAACAATAAACATTTGTGGTCTGCTACCAACTGCTGAGCACTTCATGTAAAGTATCTCATAACATTCTGAGGAAGCTAGCGATGTTACTTCCATTTTATAGGTAAGCCCACTTATCAGTGAACTCCAGGGTTTCCACATTATCTTCTCCCCTCAATGTGCTCCCCCAATTGGGAGCAACAAAGTAGGGTGTAACATAGGTGACAGTTTTCTTTCTAGTGTCCAGACATGTTAAGATCTGAATTAAAATTTACTGGATTTATTTACCTCTTGTAACACACTAAATAAAGATTATCCTAGACTCTCTCCTACTACAATAAAGGTCTAGAGGAATGCATCAGAGCACTATAGTTTTAGATGCAAATGTTGAACTCTACAGATGTTATAAGAATTTAGTTGTGAAAGATATGAACACATTTTTCAGGAGGCATGGTTTGTGGGGCTTGTATTTTCAACACCTTAGAATAGTTTATTGTCTGAATGTTCATTCTATCAAACCCTATGCAATAGCATTACACTTAGGCAAAGAAAAATTAAAAGACAAATGATTATGAGTTAATGATCCACTTTCTTTCAAAGAGACTGTTAAAACAGGGGTCAGCAAACTTTTTCTTAAGGGGCCAAACAGTAAATATTTTAGACTTGCAGGCCATCTAATTCTGCAGTCAGGGAAAGCAAACACAGATTAAACATAAATGATGGGTATGGGTTTTTTTCAATAAAACTTTATTTACACAACAGGTGGTCTGCCCACTGACTATACATAGTTTGTGGACCCCTATGTTAAATGACTCCAATCTTAACGGGATGAACGAAATGGGCCAGATAAATTTCAGGTCAATTTGGCAAATTTACCTCTTTCCTTTTAAAAACTGTTTTTTTCCTACAGAAATATCCATATTCCTGTACTAAACATAATGACTTAAATAATGACAAACTCTAGCACGCAAATTAAAACACATTTGGCTCTGTAATAGGCTGAACAAGTTAAAAGAATCCTTGTATTTATTTTTTGCACAGCACAAATGCAGGTGACACACAGTAAGTCCATAATTTCCCACAAAACTTATAAACTTAACAACTGAGAGTCTAAATTCTTATAATCTTCTGCATTGCTCCCAGCTATACACTGTATGAAATCCATTCCATAGCAGCAGAGAACCTTAACTTTAAGCACCAAATTTCCAGGCATTACTACAAATGTCTTTTTTTCATTCCCTAGTACATGCAGTCAAACTGCCAATGAATAAATACCAATTCACTTTAAGCTTCAATGGAGAAGGGAAAGCAGTTGGGAAACCAACATTATTCTTAAATCTAAGTGATTTAAGAATCACTTAGCAGTGTCTTTTCTTTACCTTGTCTTTTCTTCCATAAAAATTTTAACTTTTAATGTAGTGATATTAAACATGAACATAAATTTAATTTTGAACATAATCCCTTTCAGACTTAAACAGTTTATGATGTTCATATTTGTTTTATAAATCCAGAGGAAAACAAAAACATGATCTCTAGCATATTCTGGCAATTTTTATTAAAAGTTAAATTTAGAATTTTATAGCAAAATAATATAGTCTGTGTGTCCAAATTATGATTAAAAAATCCTTAATTTATGTATATTAAGATACAATGTGAACCCCAATACATTTTATTGAAGTGTGTTTTCGATTTCTGAAGCAGGATTCAGTGGGGATTTTGCTCACATCAGCCCTGTATACCCGGAGATTACTGGATCCACTAAATGGACAATGAAAACTGGTTGAGGCTGCTGCTGAATGCTTCAACAAGAATCTGATACACAGACACAGATTTCATTGTTATAGTCAATGCAACTGAAGTCTTCCTTAAAACTGTGCTCCTGATAGGCTGAAGATAGAGTAATGGACTGTTAGTTCTTTAAGCCAAAAATGCATGGATCTACTGTACAAAGGCTTCATTCTCTGCCTGTAGTTAGTAACTTGAGGGCCTTCTGTAGATTCTGCACAGCAGTGCTGACATCTTCGTATTGCAAAGCACTGCCAGCATATTTGCAGTATTTCTGGGCTCTAGCAAAGTCCTCTGGTGTTAGACGGATATCGCCTAGAAGAAAAATAGAGCAATTAAGGTATCTGTAGGAATCAAAAAAGTATTCTATTAGGTTAGGTAAATGCCTACATTTAAGATTATAGAAAATATTTAAGGCTATATAAAAACATGAAGGTTTTTTCAACCCCAGGTGTAAATATTTAACTAAGTATTTTCATGCTTCTCACTTTTTTTTTTACTAATATAAACCATACACATGCCAATACTAATAACTTATACGAAAAAATTTTTCTTCCAGAAGTAATAAACTAGAAGCCTTTATAATTTGATAAATTAATTGCAAAAAAATTATATTCTATGTAAAAAAAAGGATAGTAGCTTTGGTGTTTATACTAGAATTGTTGAGCCTCTCTTCATGGAACAATACACACAGACTAAACCATTCAACCCTCACTTGAGCTAGAATATAAATATAATTCTCAATGAAAAAAATAAATTTAAAAAAATTACATGTCATTTAACTTTTTTAGCATGAAAATATTTTGTTTTTGTGCCATCCATATAAAAACCTCTAGTTTAAATATCATTAAATTACAAAACTAAACATATGAACAACCTTTACAAATTATGTCCAAAATTTATTCTCACCAAGTTTTCCAGTTACACATATGATTAATAAGGGTAGAACCCAACTAAATAATCTGGGTAAAACCAAAAAAACAACTTCACTTGGAGCAGCTGGGTGGCTCAGTTGTTAAGCGTCTGCCTTCGGCTCAGGTCATGATCCCAAGGGTCCTGGGATCAAGCCCTGCATCGGGCTCCCTGCTCAGCGGGAAGCCTGCTTCTCCCTCTCCCACTTCCCCTGCTTGTGTTCCCTCTCTCGCTGTGTCTCTCTCTGTTCCAAATAAATAAAAAAAAATCCTAAAAAAAAACTTCACTTAATCAATCTAAGATTTGAATATATATTTCTAAAGATGAAATTAAAAACTTACTTTGTGCCCTGACTTTTGAAAATGCATTTTCTTCAGAATTCTTTATAAGGATATTAAGAACTGATCAGAAAGAAGGCTGGGGCACAGACTAAAACAGTAATATATTTCAAATTCTGTTCATAAATGAACAGTTAATATATTTCAATTCTGTTTATAAGCATGAACTATAAACAGACTATCTTTAGTTGCTTTTAATTTTGCTATATATATGTATACATACACACACACACATATATATATGGCATATAATGAAAACTTTGATATTACAAAGTAGGTAGTGACTCCAGGTATCCAGATACTAAGTTCTGATCCAAATCATTATTTTCTAAAATTTTCAAGAGTTCTGAAACAATGTATCCCAAAGTTTCTAGGCCAAAGCCAGGCACCCATAAGTACTAAATAACTTTAATGAATGAATATAAAAATGCTGTCTGTACATTTCCTACATTTTAAAATAAAGTTCATATAGAATTAAACATTAATGAGATTTCAGATTTTAAGATAATACACATAGTTCTACATGTAGTAATTAGCCCAGTGTATGACATATAAAGTCTTCAAAAATTTTTGATTATTAAAGATCACAGTGGTTGGTCTTTACTGTTGTGAATAAGAGATTATATATTCCAATTTTGACAGACCTTGTTTCAATTTTCTTGAATTTGTCTTGCTTAAAAAGCAAGAAATACAAATCAATATACTAGTAAAATACAATTATACATATATATTTATATTTATTTATATATTATATTTATTTATTATTTTTAATTCTCCCTCTCCCTTATTTGTATTATATATATATAAATGTATAAACGTTTTTCCACAAATCTTTTAGTATTCTAGTGCCTTGGCATTTGTTACCCATTAAACCTAAAAAACAATTATCCTGCAGTTGTTCTGTTGACAATTTAGTCAGGACACTTTAGGTTCTTCAATGGTTTTTCCAAATATATTAAGAGGTTCTAGTCATCTAAAGCTATACATCCTATCTAGGTGAGGGAGACGCCTTTGAAAATTAAGTTTACCCCACTACTCATTTCGTGCTTGAATAGCCCGTCCTCTTATCTCAGGGCAATCTTTAAGTATGCAGGGAAACCATTCAGAATTTATCGGACCTGCTGGAAGAAAGCCCCAATGTTCAGAACTAATCTTATTTTTACAGCATGAGCCTTAGCAGTGTTTTGCTGATATATCACTTATTTACTAATGAGATGTATGTAGTGTTAAGAACGCCATTACTATTTTAGTTGTTATAAACTAAACTTATCCACCAATGATAAAACTATTTTAAAATACAAATATTGCACTTCTCATGAAATAACAATTTCAATATTCTGAAAATGTGAATGAAAATATTTTAAAAGAAAAATATCATTACATGTATATAATACATATAGCTTATAAACGTATGAAATTATGTAACTATCATATAAAATATAACTAGATAATAACCAACTTACAGATTCAGATACAAAATGTAACTTACAGATTTAAATAGGGATGCTAGACTTACTAATTAAAAATATAAAGAACTTAAAAAGCCATGTCAAATAGTTACTTTTGCTATTTTATAAGACTTCAGGCTTCCCTTCATTTAACAAATATCATCTAAGAGTAATTAATAATAAAACGTGATTAAAATTTTAAATTAAATAAAAAGAAAATCTGCCTAATTAATGATTCTTTTAACTTAGCATCTGAAAACTAAAGTGGAAAATATATAAAAGGAGAAGAGAACAGGAAGAGAACAACTGTTCAATTTCAGTATCTGATGTTATATACAAAATAGTAAATACTGCTTAGAGCACCCAAATAAAAGCTGTTTTTTCTATTATTAAAACTTTAACTAGAGGCCATAATCAGACCAGAGAGAGCTCACACTGTGGACGTAAAAAGTGTTTGAAGGAGTAAAGAGGTTGTCTAACAGAGTATCTCTTTTCTGAACTCTATGTTTAATATGTTGCTGATGGCTTCAGAGAAGACCGTCCTCATCACAGGGCTGCTTTTCTCCTCCACAGGGCAGAACAAGCAGGCAGAAGACAGCTAGAGCTATTACTCAAGTTCACTATCACAGTGGGAAGAGCCTGGGTCAGCACTGGATCAAAGATAACATTTTTGGTGTGAAGAGAAATCCCTGCACACTCAGTTGACAAAAGCATCCATTTCTAAGGCTAATTTATCTAATGTTATGATAGACCATAGAATACTTAATTGTAAAGATTTCCAAAATGGGTCTTTAGAGACTCTTTCCTACTTAGCTAGGTAATTTTAAGAAATTCATGTCAGGGGCCTTGGATAATCTGATCCTAATGTACTCTATTATCCTCTGACTTGAATGGAAAGCATGGGCAGAATCATAGGGGAAGCATGTAATATGCAGTAAATCTTGGGAGTAAAGAGAAAGCTCAGCACTGAACCCTTATATCCAGGCATTGCCAAGATATGTTTCTTAGAAATGGCAACACTAGAATGATTAGAGGTAGAATTTGATTAGGTCATGCACTGTGCTAAATTCGTTTCAGATATTCCATTTAATTCTCAAAAAAATTCATGAGGTAAGCGGTTATTCACACTCTAATACTATATAGAAATATGTTAAGTTAAAAAAGGAAATGTTCTGTTTCAACTACCTACCACCTTTCCAATTCCATTGTCAGCCTTTCCACAGTCAGCCACAAATTCACTAATGTTTAATATATTAATACTAACGCACATACACTATGTGTATTAAAGGTGATAAGTACTAAGCACTAAAGAGAAAAATGTATCAGGAAAGGGGTTCAGGGAGTATTTATTAGAGGTGGTGGTGAAGACAGTGATGGTTATGAAATTACTAGTTTTGGTCTGAGTATTATCTAGAATTTTTCTATGTTCTCAAACACATACATACATGCAGGAAGAGAGTTTTAATATTTTTTTTCCTAAATAGGGTCATACTATATATAATGTTCTGCAACCTGTTTTTTTGTTTTTTTTTTTACTTAATATGCTTAGGAGATCTTTTCACATCAGAGTTACTATATATATTTAATATCTGCTCAGTATTCCATATGACAAATGAACCATAATATCCCATTAATTAGCACTTAAAAGATTATTTTCTACTATTGTGATGATGTTGAAATAAAATATCCTTGTAAATTTTGTGCCCATGTCTGAGTAATTTTTTAAGATAGTAGAATATAGCAGGTTCAAAAGAATTATATTTGCAATTCTGATAGTGACATAGTGCTGCTGCAAAAACTTTATTAATGTACATTTCCCACCAACAGCATGCGAGAGTCATTCCTTAGGTCTTCAATGACACTACAGATTATTGATCCTTTAAAATGTTTTTTTATCTATTGACATAAACCAAACCAAACTCATTCTAATTCTCAATTTCCCTGATTATGAATATAGTTGGGAAAGCTTTCATGTGTTCACTGAGTATCTGCATTCCCTATCATATTCTCTGCCTGTTTTTCGAATTAAGTTTCAGTTATTCATTTGTAGGAGCTCTTTATATATGCTCTGGACATTACTTCTTTATTTTTAAATTTCAATTTCTTCCTGGTCTATTAGTTGCATTCTAACAATGTAATGGGGAAGAAGGAGTCTTCTGTGGTATGAATTTTTCATTTTTCATTTGTCAAACCTGTTAAGACACAACTGAATCAGATACAAGTACTGAGAGACAGTATCTAATATATATTTTTTTCTCATAACCAATTGTTCTTTTTTTTAAGATCCTATTTGAGAGAGAAAGAGAGAAAGAACGAGTGGGGAGAGTGGCACAGGGAGAAGCAGACTTTCCACTGAGCAGGGAGTCCAATGCAGGGCTCGATCCCAGGACCTCAAAATCACAGCCCCAGCTGAAATCAGACACTTAACTGACTGAGCCACCCAGGTGCCCCCCAAATAACCAATTGTTCGAACATCACTTTTGAATATATATTCTTGCTACACTGATCAAATGCCACATTCATCATTAATTTGATTCCTCTAACGTGTGGTCTAATTTCCAGAGTCCCTATTCTGTTTCACTGATCTAGTTCAGATATTTTCACATCAGATTTTAGGTGGAGCTTTTAAAATTGGGTGGGACTCCAGAGGGGAGTCTGGAAACCAAGTTTAACAGAGGAATGTAGTATTCATTGGGCAGGTTATCTAGTCTGTCTACCAACAGATAAATATTTTCCACTATGTTCTTGGGTAACTTGCCAGTTTATTACAGGTTCCTTTTTGTTTTTGTTTTCAACTATGATCAGTTCCTCCTTTTGGATAATCCAATAATTTAGTATAGATAAGGAAGATCATAAGACATGGCAATTTTTTAACTAAAGTAATCTAGTATCAGCTTTTGTGACAGCTTTGGCTATTTCTGCCACTATATCCACTGGTATACAAAAAAAAGGAACTGTAAAAAAAGGGGGGAATGTCTTCAAATTTAGATAGTTTTGATAATATGAAACAATCTTGGTTCATTGGAGAATCTAGTGAATACAGACATTCAAAGAAATGTGTAAACATTCCAATATATAATACTCTTAAGCTACAATTAGAAAACAACACCTAAAACAAGAGATACGATAAATCTCAAAAAATAGTCAACTGACTTACCGTGGGAGACTGTACTGAAAAGTTCAGGATCAATAGCTGGAATAGTCTGTGGAGTAGGTTGGATAGTATTACTTGCTACACCTGCATCAGAAAACCATAAATGGGTATAAAAGTTATACCTCTTAATTATATACTAGGAAAATATTTAAAGGATCATGAAGGAATTCCATTTCTTAATTACTTTTTTGAAATCTTAATGAATTGTAATTTGACATACTTATTTGATGCTGGAGGCTGGTATAGAAAATATGCAGGAAAATATATTCTGAGTGTTTACATACACACATGTCTAATGCAGATGGTCGTTGTCTGCATACTATACTATTTCATGCATTTTTTACTTAGTATGTTTTAGCAGTAACTCTAGATATATATATATCTACCTTGTTACTTGACATGGCTACATAGTGTTCCATTCCATGTATGAACCACAATTTATAAAGCAGTCCTTTACTGATGGGCATTTAGGTTGTTTCCAATCTTTTGCTACTATAGATAATACTACAGTGAATAATCTTACACATTGTGTACATATACACACACACATATATATGAATTCATTTATGGGAAAAAATTTAAAGAAGTGTAACTGCAAAGTCAGGGGACATACAAGTTTTAAACTGACCAATTCAACGACTAGCTTTTGCTTGATTTTGGTAAGTGCTAACCAAATATATTAAAGTATCACCATCCAACATAAATGTCCCCACAAAACTTGCCTTTAAAGACACATAACTACATTAAAAAAAAAAAAAAAGGAATGCAAGATTTGAGAGGGATCTTCAGAGACTACCTAGTCAAGCCTAGTGCTTTGAAGCAGCTGTACTTAAAACATAGGTAGATGATTATAAATTTTTCATATAATGTTAAAGAAAAAAAAAGGTAAGTCTACAACCCACTCACAGATCAATCTAGATATCAAGCCATTCCTTGCTAGGTAATTTGTGTTTTTGTCTAAATTAAAATTTTCCAAACAAATCCCTTTCTCTATGGAAAAGGAATATTTTTACTGATCAGCATCTTGTATTATTAACTTTTAAATGCTTATTAGTATATTTTCATATGATTAATTAAGTATGCAATATTAATTAACAAGAACAAAACAGAATTTACAGGGAGAAAATTTAGTTATGTAGTAAAATTTTATTTGAGTGAAATTAAAAAAATAGGTAGTCTGCATTTTATTAAGAACTTCTGGTTACAGTCATTCAACTAAAGCTTGAACTGACAGCAGAGGGTGCTCAACACACCTCAAGCAGCAGTAAGAAGATGCTGCTTCCATTTGTCTTGATGCACATGAGCCAAGGCCTGTCCTTTCGGCAGCCGTCATGACACGTTTCCATGGGGGCCTAGTGTATAGGTCCAACATAAGCTCATAAATACTGTTAAATTTAGTAAAAGTGGCTTTTAGTTTATGTTATTTATTTACTTTTTTTTTTGAGATGCCCAAAGCTGTTTTTCTTTCTTTCTGGATTTGGAAAGGTCTCATAATGTCAATTCACAAATGGACTGCAACCCCGAAGACGGCAGTATGTTGGGAATATGTTGGGAGTGAATGTGAACATAAAACCATTCATGGAGGAAAGCAGAAATTTCTTCCTTTCTATTATTTAACAAAAAAGAAGTGTCAACAAATAAGTTCTGGTTAACTTTTAAGTAGATGGTTACGTAGCCTATTAAATGGGATTAATACACATTCAAGAATTAAACTTTACAAGATTTCTAATTAAGTACTGAATTTAAATTGTTCTATTGTCTACACGGTCTGGGGATTCTGAAAAGGGAGAAATGGGTGTTGGTTAGAAAACCAGAGAAGATTATCCAGAATTATAATTAAACAGAACCCTTAGGGGAGTAGCATTTGGAGAGGCAGAGAAAAAGGGAGAAAGACACGCTAGATACAAGGAACACTATAAGCAAAGTTAAGAAAATAGGAGGATTGGGTTGAGTAACCCAATTATACCTCAGTATAATCACAGAAAATAGAATTGACAGAAGTGGTCAGGACAAAATATTAACAACTTTGAAAGCTGTGTAGGAAAACTCAAATGCAGTACTTTTCATACATAAAAGAACAACAATAAAAGAGCAAAGTTTTTGATCTACGCATAAGGAGCTGCATTTATAATCAAAAGGTTAGCGTTCATTATAACATAATTCTAATATTTAATCTAATTACTGAGATCTTCTTCCGCAGTATGTATAGGCTGTATAAAGCATATGTTTCAAGAGAAAGGACAAACCGTCCACTCTATCACCTCCATGATTGTCCACAGTGGTTAAAGCCCAGAGGCACTCTGCCTGCTTAAACAATCGCTCTCACTGCACTCCTTGCACCCCCTGTGCTTTTCTGTGGAAGAACTAAAAACCATATATTAGTACATACTATTCTTTTCAGCTATCTTGAGGATTTCCCTTTGATAAAAGTATATCCTGGATCTTTATATGAGGGAAAGTAAATCAATCTTAAAGTGAGTAAGAGGGGAAACATCTGCTATATTTAAAAACTAAAAATGTTATTTCATTTGCTATTAGCCAACTGTGAACTGATTTTTTTTTTTTTTTACTGTTTTAAATATAATAGAAAAAAAATCTGCCAGCTAAAAGGAGATTCCAATACCACAAACCAATTTTAAGGGGCAAAATATTGTGAGAAAAGTAGATTTTGATTTAACAGGGTTTTAGTTCCTTGGAGGAAGAGACACAGAAAGGAGGTACCAAAAACATGAAATCAGAAAGACATGGGTACAAACTCTGTCACTAATAGATATGTTTATATGTTTATTTTCATGGGATAATTGTTTAATTCCTTTATAGTGTCTAAACTAGAGATAGCAATATCTAATGTAGTTAAAATAGTTGCTGCAAGAATTCATAAAATAGCTACAATAATTTTGTAAATACTAAGTCTATAAGAGTGTATATAAAGTAACAAGACAGGACCTCACCCTAAAAAAGTTCCAAGATTTTTGGTTTTATGTGCTCACTCTGAGGAACAAAAAAGAAAAAATAATTGGAGAAAGATGAACTGTTCATGCCAGAAAACTTTCTAATAGAAGACTACCTCCTTAATATCTGTTTATGTATGTCAAAGATATTCCAATCAGGAGATAACAGTCTATTAGTTTGAACATATGAAACTACTAAGATTTTATCACTTATGTTATATAAAAGTAGCAATTTCATATGGTTCAACCGAATACAGCCCTCCCAGAAGTAAGCTTTCTCTCTTCTACATACACACTGTATGACTATATATAAAATATATGTATATAGGTGCCTGTACCAGAATTCTGCCCTAAGATAAGTTGTCTAACATGGTACCCTTTAGGCAACTTTTTTTTAAGGTCAGTATCCTACCCCCAAAGGTGACACTTCCCTTGATTCACAAAATGATTTTACGTGTTCATTAGCTTGCTCTTAAATACCCTGTCTTTGGCACAGAGATAGGAAGGAAAAGAGAAAAAAAAAAAAAGGAAAAGGAAGCTAATTTGCTGAACACTGATTTTGTGATTAGGCACAGTAGTAGTGAATTTTCAAACTTTTTCTCCTTTAATAATTAAAATCACTATGAGAAGTATGATTAATTTCATTTTAGAAAGATTGGCAAAACCTAGACTGAGAAGCTGAATAACATCTGAGTTTGTGGTTTAGCAAGGGGCAGGAACTAATAACCAATACTATTTGACTTCAAAATACATTTTATTCGCACTTTGCCCTTCTATAAAAATGGTGTGTCAGAGGCTCCTGGTTAGTGTTTAAATTCAATAGAATAGAGTAGTATATTTATCTAAGGCAAATACATCTAAGTAGCTGGTGTTGCTTATATTATTCTACACTGGAAATACTGAATATTTCTATAAGAAAATAAAATATTTATAACAGTGTTCTGTGAAATTTTACTTACAAAACAAACTCAAATTGCTCTATTAAACTCATCATACAGACCATAAAGCAAAGCAAAGTCAGAGTAAAATACACAGAATGATGACACAAAAGAGATCAGTGTTAAAATAATCACATTCATCAATATTCTTCAAGACAAAAATAAGAGCAATATTTGTAGATAATATAAAGTTAAAAGTTTTAAAATAGGAGGAAAGAAATTAATAATAATTGGTGCTATAATAGTCAAATAGAAAACTTTTTTAAATGTTATTCAACTCATGCAAAATAAGCTAAAATGGTTTGGGTAAACTGAGGCTGAAAATCTGAAAGTCAGTGAAGTAATAGTGTGGTACTTAACAGAAACCACAGAAATTATGGCTCAAAGGATGACTTTCATCCTATGAATTAAATATTTTGAAATGTTTGTATGGTTTACTACTGTAGATTACATTTATGCTGCGATAAAATAAATACTTTAAGAACAATTTTTGGAAAAACTTCAACATGTAAATTATGGCTTCAAATGCCCTTCTATCTGAAGGTAAGGATAACACTTTGTCAACAATACAAGTAAATGGAAGAGTATCTGTCTGCAATTTTAAAAAAAGTTATCTTTCATTTACTGACATTGACTCATTACTAGAGACTAGTGTTGTTAGATCTTTTCCATGAAAACACAGACATAGAGTACCAATTTATTCAAAGACAGAAGCTATCACTTCCCTTTCTTTTCTTCAGTCAACTGTTTATAATATTAAAAGAAATAACCCACACCCCCTCTTTTCGGTTGTGATTCCACTGCTATTGAGATTTTCTGCCTCAATGCCTGCTCCCTTCATCAATAATAATCTATGTTGAGGGCAGGGGTTGGGTCCTAAGGAAATAAGGCAAGAAAAATCAAATCTTCCTGACACAGTGGGATGCTGACCAACATACTATGATAGATCCGCACAACTCAGTGCTAATCTCGGACAGTGAAGGGCAAAGAAAGGGAGGGGAAGAAAGAGAAAATAGCACCACACATGAAAAGCACAGAAGCTATTCTTAGTAATAAAATATAAAGTTAATAGTAACATGTGAATGTTTGGTCACTTCTCAAAAAACTAAAGGACAAACAACAATAGAACTTCAACAAAAAGGACTGAACATTTTTTGTAGGTTCAAATAGAATTTAAAGATCTTATTATGCTTCATTACCATCATGATCAGGCATAAACACAATAAAAAGTGCAGTCCTTATTTATGAAAGGAGAGTTCAAAACTTGTTAAGCTTTAATTTCCTACCTGTGCTGTGAGGCACTTCTGCTGGTGTATTAGCTGGAGCGTGCGCGCCGGGAGGAATCTGTATGCCAGAGAAGCTGCCGGATGGCATGCTGCTTGGGTCGTAAGTCGAAGATGATGGCTGAGGTGGCTGAGTCGGCAGGGATGTTGCTCCAGCATCTTCATTTTCTTCAACATCTATTATATAATTTACATGTAAAGTTAAACTAGGTATTTGGAAGAAAAATGCCAAACATTCTTATTTTGCTCTACAGACATGATGAACAGACCTTCTGATGCAATTCTATTTAATGCACTTGATAAGTAGGCTCTAGCTCTTAAAATAATAGTTTTGTTTTCTTTTCTTAAATCACCTAATTATACCTGCCAATATGATTGTCACTTCAAGTTAATACTTATACTTTACAATTCTATTAAAATCTTTGCATATAGTATATTCTTCTTAAAAATAAATTTTCTTTAAACTCACTCTTTAAACTTAAAATAAACAGGGTATTTTTGGCAAGACATGTCACATTTATGCTATCCATAGACTTTTTTTTTTTTTTAAGATTTTATTTATTTATTTGAGAGAGAGAGAGACAAGGAGAGAGGGAACACAAGTAGGGGGAGTGGGAGAGGGAGAAGCAGACTTCCGGTGCAGGGCTCTATCCCAGGAGCTGGGATCATGACCTGAGTCCAAGGCAGACGTTTAATGACTGAGCCACTCAGGCGCCCCTAGACTTTATTTTTCTGACAGCTGCCTTTTACTCAGTATTCATTGTTCACACTAGCTATTAAATGATTACCTGTGTGTTTATCGTAGGTTAATCAACAAAAACAAAGGAATGAAATTTCACAGAGCTACCTGCACAGAAAGTAGTAATAAGAGACTTTGTGTTGAACTGCTTCTCGGTCTTTTGGCTAAGATCAAGTGTAGAGACTCTGTGTTGGTAAGTTCTGAAATACAGACTTAAAATATACTATATTATTAGCTGAATTTGAAAGCTACTCTGGGAAAATTAAATATTGATAGTCTATTTAAAAAGACAATTAGCCACTTTTGGGAATCTTCATAATTTAAAATGTAAGCGAGAGCAAGAGATTTCTGAAATCAATTTATTTCCTATCAAATTTTTAAATAACTTTTTTGTTTGATCATAACCATATTACATATTCAATGTGGATAATTTTAAACAACCAAAAAAAAAAACCCTACCTACTCTAAGATAGACATTTTACTAAGTAACCTTGTAGATGTATTTATATACACTAATATAATTCTCTCCTATATTAGAGAACTATAACATTTATACATCCTGGGAAGGAGTCCCTCCCTCCAATTTTTAAAGGCACTAGAAAGTGACTAAAAGCTGGTAGAAACTAGAGTGAAGATGGCCCTTTGGAGAGGAAATCTCACCAGGTAAGGTTTGTTTTCATGTGGCTTTTCACCTGCAGGCACTCAACAGTCTGTGCAAAAGAAAGAGTTGCGGAGAAGTGAGCCTTGAAATGTGTGTATAAACCCCAACTAAATACCGTATGACCCTGAACTATGCATGCACATTCTGGGAAGATTCTAGAGTGTCCTGGTGAAAGCAATAGCCTTAAAGCTGAAAGAAGGACAGGCAGTGTTTGAGTTCAGGCATGTTAACTGCCTGCTAGGAGAAGAATCAAGACCTTGCAGAGGAAGATGAGAAAATGCAGAGGAGCTACAAGACGTTATCAACAATAAAAATTAATAGAAATAAGGGGGGATGGGAGGAAGAAAATGTGACCCGAGTTAGGAGAGAAAGACAGTCTATAGAAGAAGACCCCCAAATGACCCAGATATTAGCAAAAAATTAATTAGCAAAAAATAAATAAATAACATTAAAGCAGGTACTATAAATGTGTTCAAGGCCATAGAGAAAAATGTAGTCATCATGAATGAAAGAGGAAAAACTCACCAGAGAAAAGAAACTAAGAGGAGACAAAAACAGATGGGACTAACAGAAAACAAATGATAAAAACAATAGACTTAAATCTAGCTATAGCAATAATTACATTAAATTAAGTGGACCAAACACAATTTTGAAGGCTGATGTTGACAGACTAAACAAACAATTGAACAAAACCCAAACCAAAAAACACCTATATGCTTTAAGACTCAGATATATTTATAGTAAAAGGATGAACTAGATAAACTATGTAAATACCAAGCAGACAAAAGGTGAAGTAGCTAAATCCAGTAACAGACACAACAGAATTCATTTCAAGGAATATTGCGGGTGCAACAGACAAGAAAAAGAAAATATAGATATAACGATTGGAAAGAAAGAAGCAAAACTGCTTCTCTTTGCAGATAACAGGATTATCTACACAGAAACTCCCAAGGAATCTATAAGGCAACCACCAGAATAGGTAAATTTAGCAAGGTTGTGCAATACAACATCATTATACAAAAATCAATTGTATTTCATATACTAGAAGTAAATAAGGGAATGAAAAAACCAAATACTCGGAAATAAACTTAACGAAAAAGACACAAAATCTCTACTCTGAAAAATACAAAATATTGCCAATAGACATTAATGAAGGCTTAATAAATGGAAAGATACACTATATTCATGTAATGAAAGACTCAGTTTTGTTAAGGTATCAATTCTCCCTAAATTTATCTATCAATTCAATGCAATATCAATCCTAATTCCAGCCAGCTGTTTTTTTATTTTCATAGAAACTGAAAAACTTACTTCCAAATTTATGGTGAAACTCAAAGGCCATAGAATAACTAAGAACATCTTGAGAAAAAAGAGAAGAGTTGGAGAACTTATGCCATCTGACTCAAGGTTTACTGTAAAAAGGTGGAAGGCAGTGTGCTGTTGGCACAGACCAGAAAAATAGACCAATGTAATTGAACAGAATCCAGATCACACTTACATGGTTAATTGAATTTTTGACAGAGGAACCAAAGAAATTCAACAAGGAAAGGAAAATGCATAACAAATGGTGCTGGAATAATAGGCTATCCTTATGGGGGAAAGAATCCTGAATCTAGCCTACCTCACACTATATGCATGAAAAGATTTAAGGTCTTTCACAAACCTAAAAGTAACAGCTTAAATGATAAATCTTCAGGATTAAAAATATAAAAGAATTTTTAAGGTAGAGGTAGACAAAGATTTCATAGGACATAAGAAGTAGCCCTAAAAATTTTAAAATTATAAATTATACTTCACCAGGATTAACAATTTTTGGTAATTAAAAGACAGTTACAAAAACAAGTAGGGAAACAACAGACCGGGAGTAAATATTTATAAAACAGGTAACTGACAAAGGACTTCTATTCATAATTTATAAATAATTCAATAATAAAACAAGAGACAACCCATGAAAAATGGGCAGGTATATTAATGTCCACAGTAGTATTCACAACAACCAAAAGGTAGAAACAACCAAAATGTTCATCAATGGATGAAGAAATACAATGTTGTAGGAGCATACAATGGAATATTATTCAGCCTTTGGAATGAAATTCTAAAATATCCTGTAACATGGATGAACCTTGAAGACATTACAATAAATGAAATAAGCCAGTCACAAAAGGACAGATACTGTATGATTCCACGTATATGAGGTACCTAAGAGTAGTCAAATTCACAAAGACAGAAAACAGAACAGTGGTGACCAGGAGCTAGGAATGGATAGGGTAAGGGGAACTTACAGTTTAATGGGTACAGTTTCAATCTGAGAAGACGAAAAATGTTCTGGAGATAGATGGTGGTGACAGGCTGAATAATACAAATTTGCTTAATGCCACTGAGCCGTACATTTAAATGATTAAAATGGTAAATTTTATTATGTATAATTTACCACAACAAAGAATGGGCAAAAGATTTAAACAGACACTCCACAAATAAAGATATATGAAAAGCCAGTAAACACATATAAGAGAGATCAATATCGCTTAGCCATTGGGGAAAAAAGGCTAATTAAACCACAAATGAAGAACCACTACATAAGGATCAGAATGGCTAAAATTTTTTTTTAAAGATTTTATTTACTTATTCATAAGAGACAGAGAGAGAGAGAGAGAGAGGCAGAGGGAGAAGCAGGCTCCCCGCTGAGCAGGGAGCCCCATGTGGGACTCGATCCCAGGACCCTGGGATCATGACCGGAGCCGAAAGCACCCAGAATGGCTAAATTTAAAAATACAATTACCAAGTGCTAGCAAGGATAGAGAGAGACAGAAACTCTAATACATGGCTGATGAAACTATAAATGGTACAAGGACTTTAGAAAATGCTTTGGGAGTTTTATATATAACCCAACAATTCTATTCTAGCTACTGACCCACAGCAATGAAACACATCCACCTGTTCCCATATGTATGTCTAAAAACCGTATGTATTTAAATGTCAAGAAGCTTACTTCATCATAACCTCAAACTAGAAACAGCCATAATGTTCATTAGCAGATGACCTGATAAATGAATATGGTATCCATACTATGAAATACTACTCAGCAGTAAAAAAGAGTGGACTACTGGTTCACAAGACACAAGACACAGATGAATCTCACAGATATGGTGCTGAAAGAAGCTAGGTGCATAACAACATCGTGGGACTCCATTTACACAATGTTCTAAATCAGACAAAACTAATTTTTGATTAAACAAACAACTAAATCAGTTGTTTCTGAAGGTGGGAATGGGCTGGGAAAGAGTATGAAGCAATTTTGGGGAATAATGGAAATGTTCTTTATTTAGAGCGTGTGTTGTCAAAGTCACTGAGCCACTGAATTACACTACTAAGCAAACAGTAAACTTTAATTTGTATCTGTAGATGCTAAAGATAATGGGGTAATGTTTCATTAAAAATAGGGTATTTACATGGTCTCAAAGGGACTTATTCCACAATAACTTATTAATAAAAGGAAAATCATTTTAAAGTGCAATAACTCAGAGCATACCACATTATCTGAGCGGCAGTTAATATCACCAATATTTCACCAATATTAGACACTTCCAGTGCAAGGTAGGGGACACACTCTCAGTCTGGCGTATTTCTGCTAAACATGCATAACTGTAATCTAATTATGAGGCAACATCAGGAAAAACCCAAATTGAGGGACAGTCTATAACTAGTCTGTATTCTTCAAAAACACTGGGCCAAGAAACACCTAGAAAGACTGAAGAACCATCCCACATGAAAGGAACT